AGCAACGGACACCTGTTCTCATATGATGTTTGAGTGTTCAGATGTGGCTGTGCTGGGGTCAGTCTCTTCAACCTTATGTCCAATGTTGGGAAAATGGATGACGGTTACCTGTACTGCCTTCTGCATGTCCCTTCTCTGCCACCAATGGGAAATTGATGTTGTACCTACCTTTGAAGTTCTTCATTGGACAGGTTCACTGGCTCAGAAAAAGGACTCTCTGAGGTTGGGGAGCATGTTGTTGTGCCTTTCAGTGATTAAATTGATGGGATTATCTATGACTTAGAAGAGAAAGAGGTCACCACCTGGGCAGGGGTGGTGCATTGTGGGTGGGTGACAGAAACAAAATGAGTTGCTTTCAGAATATGGTATTGTAGTGCATTTTTTTCAGAATAAGTACTTAAAGCATTCCCTGTACATAGCTGATTTAATTTAATTTGCAGCCCTTCTGCACAGTATCACTATGCCAAGCACACCATTGTTTGCGAAGGAGTATAAAAGGCCATTTTTAAACACTTAAGGTTCAGGGCACTGGGCAATTAAAAGATTATACAGTTAAAAATTTCCACAACATAACTATCTTGTGCTCTTGTTGTGGCAAAAAAAGCTAAGCCTATAGAGTTCAAAGAAAAGTTAGGAGACCCTTTGCAAAAAAAATAATTTGATACTTTTATCAATCCATATTCTGATTATTACAAATAATATAATGAACTTGTAATTATTAAACTTTAAAACATTGACTTCTTTGTTTCTAAAATGAACACAAATATGGTCCTTAAAGGCCCTAAATGTTAAAAGCCTGTCTAGGCCTTAAAGTAGCTGGTAAATGCTTGATGAACACATCAGCCAATAGTTTTAGAAATCATCCTCATGTTGTTGATTTATGTTTTGATTAACTTGAGAAACGGAAAGTCTATTTCTATAATTGTAACAATTACTACTTTGCTGTTACAATATTGTAATTGTATTAAGCTACAGAAGATTTAATTACTACTTTACTAACCTAGTTTATCTGCGGTTTTACTACTGAACACATTTTTGAAAAGCTGTGCGTTTCAGATTGCTGTTACTACTGATGTTATGTGGTGCTTATCCTACTATAGGATAGTCACTTGAAGTATTCTGTATACAAGACTTTTTACACTTTGCCAATTTTATAGTTATTTTACATTGACACTAGATGGCACTGTTAATGCTACATTTGATCAGCCTGCATAAAATTAAGAGAGTATTCCTGGAAAATAGTTATACAAATGGATAAATCGCTAAATTCTACAGCATAAAAGGCACCATGGGTACATGATACAGTATTTACAGTAATTGTTTCCAGCTTAAAAAATAATTTGCTGTGGTTTGTTCACAAGTTCCCTCTATACATGAACATTAAAATTGAGATGAATGAAAATGAATGAAATTTCATTTAGAGGTACAAGGTAAATATAATGCAAATGGGATTGTGTACTCACAAGGACAATGCATTATAACCATAAAACGTACGGAATGTAAATGAGAAAACATAGAAATACATATCCTTCACATAAGTGTTTTTACATTTTGTAAATCACATACCATTGTGTGTTCTTTTTGATTTTGTATACAGTAGCTGCTGTTCCTTAGCCTACTATTTAATGGCCAAGTGATTCAGAGAAAAAAGACTTTGGAAACCTCTTCAGATTGAATGGAAAGATACTCTGGTGTGGATTTGAATGTTGTTCCTCTCCCTAAATTCCCTTTTTTTGAAGTGCAGGCCAAGAAGGATAGTATAAGCAAACTTCAAATTGAAAGGAACATAACGGTGTTTTCATTATCACAAGAACCCTGTGTACAATAATAAATAGTTGTGCATTGACAGGAGCAGGAAAAAAATAATGTCCACCCTTTTTCCTTTAATTTAAAAAACATACCTAATAATAATAATAATAATTGCTTACACTTATATAGCGCTTTTCTGGACACTCCACTCAAAGCGCTTTACAGGTAATGGGACTCCCCTCCACCACCACCAATGTGCAGCATCCACCTGGATGATGTGACAGCAGCCATAGTGCGCCAGAACACTCACCACACATCAGCTATCAGTGGGGAGGAGAGCAGAGTAATGAAGCCCATTCATAGATGGGGATTATTAGGAGGCCATGATTGGGAAGGGCCAATTGGAAATTTGGCCAGGACGCCAGGGTTACACCCCTACTCTTTCCGAGAAACGCCCTGGGATTTTTAATGATCACAGAGAGTCAGGACCTCATTTTTACGTCTCATCCAAAGGACAGCACCTGTTTACAGTATAGTGTCCCCGTCACTATACTGGGGCATTACAATTCACATGGACTGCAGGGTGAGCACCCCCTTCTGGCCCAACTAACACCTCTTCCAGCAGCAACCTTAGTTTTTCTCTGGAGGTCTCCATTAAATCAGTTACATTTGATACATTGCCTCTGTTTACAACCAAAACTTAATAACACCCCCGCTGCATAGATAGAGTAGCAACAGCCACACAGAGTATCTTTCAGGTAAACTTGAGCAGGTTAAAACAAAAACCAAGTGTCTTACCTTATGCAGACAGCAGGTGGTGCAGAAGATTGCAACTCTATCAAGTTCTATGTCTGAATCAAGGTTCATGTTTTTTTTCCATTGTCATAAGTCTGAAGGACTCCACATTTTCCTGAGACTTGATCATAATTCAGTTCTTGATTCTTGATTAACTCAAAAATGGAGAATCTTCAAAGATAAGAAAAACATAAGAATAGTTGCAAATGAGTGGAAACAATCTGGCCCATCAAGTCTGTTTGGCAGTTAAAAGCCAATTGATCCACGGATCTCCTCCAGCCATTTCTGAGACACAATGTTATTGACTTTAACAACATGTCTGGGTAGCTTGTTCCATACTCTCACAACCCTTTGCGTAAAGAGCCTTCTGTTCTTGGTTTTAAAAGCATAGTTTCTATTTGCATCCTCTTGTTTATGTTTCACAAATCAAGAATTCCAATGCATTGGCTTTGTCAATGGCTTATGAGGATTTTAAATACTTGTATTAGGTCGCCTTAAGTTCATTTTTTTTTTCACTTCAGTATAGCACCTTACTTTAAGCTTTGTAATGCATCTGGTTGCTCTTTTCTGGAGTGATTACAGAGCTGCACTATCTTTTCTATAAAGTGGTGACCACATTTATACACAATGTTCTTCTTGAGGTCTTACTAGTGAATTATACATCTCTCCATCTTCTAACCTCTTTATCCAATTCAGAGTCTCTAGGGAGCCAGACCCTATCATGGCAAGCAAGTACAAGGCGCTATCACTATCACTATTTTTCCCTGTGATGCAATGCCTTGCTTCTCTCCTTTGCATTCCTTTACATGCTCTTGCGAATAGCTGTCATACCTAAAAAGAGAAAGAATTCTAGAAATTTGAGTAAAATAAATGTCTTCTAATTTACATGCCTTTAAAGCTTTGTTTCTCCTTTATCTTGCCACTTAGTTTAATGTTGTCTATAACATTCTCCACTATCTGTCTTCCCTATTGCACTTGCCCTTAGTGGGCAGGTGTTTCAGTATATGTAAGTAAACTACTAATATCGGTTTGGCTTGTCCTCAGAAAGAAATTCTGATCGATTCTGCAGAAGCTCGATGACAGATACTCCTTTCACATGTGCATCTTTCTTTGATGCACATGCTTCCAATAATTCATCTCATCTTTGAATGGATTTGTTGCTGAACTCTATCAAAATACCAGCCATACTGAGCAAAATAAAAAATGGTTCTTGACACAACACATCAACCACTTACAGTTTCTCCCATCTTTACGATTGAACACTTTCTTCACATTGGTATCCATAGTAGTCAGATTTAGGTGGTTCATAAAAAACTAATATAGCTCATTTGAATTTGGACAAGCAAAATAATTTAAAATTCTGAACTTTGATAGGGCAGTGAAGCAGCCTTTTAGTACTGCTGTCTTATTGCATTGGGTTCAGTCCTGGGGTGCTATTTGTGTGGAGTGTGTGCCCTGTGAAGAACTGATGTCCTGTTCAGGGTGTACCAATCCGTATGCCCATTGCTTGCTGGAATAAGCCCCACATCCTCCTTGATGTTATTTTGGATAAAGCAGTAAGAAAATGGATGGATGAAAGAATTTTGCTTAACAGCATTTACCTCATTCAGCTGCTTGTCATTCACTTACCCACCCCCCTCCCTTCAGCTGTACTCTTTTGTCTTCATAAATGCTAGGTCCAGTGACTGCATTAATTTTCTGTTTAATGCTAGGTCCAGTTGGAAAATCATCAGCACAACTGCACGAAAGCAAAAACAAACAAACAAACAAACAAACATACAAACATTACCTTTGCACACTTTGCAATGTTAACCTTCATAGTTTATAGCCTCTTTTCTTTCCCTCCATTTTCCATTCCATTCTTTGGCCTGATCCATGCTCATATTAGAGGGGAATCATGTAGAACATTTCAGGTGAGTCATCGTAGTCTTGGGCTGTGAGGTAAATCACCACCACCTCTGCAACCTCATACTATGATAGGAACTTACACCCACTTGGTCCAGACAGACAGGGGGCAGTGAGAAGAATCTAGGTGCTGTTTGTCATGATGATTGGATGTTAGTTATAAAAGTGAAATCACAAATGAAATATTTTTATACAAGAGCCTCACAGTGTTGGATTTATATTTGATTTTTTTTGCTATGAAACCAATTTGACTGGCCCATTCAGAAGGTGATTTTTGGACCAGCCGTTCCAGCTTTTGCCAGAAGTGCCAGATTGTCAGTACAGGTCTGGCATCTTAGACGTTACAATTTAAAATCAAGTTAAAATCAATAAAATTCATTATTAAAGTGAATTTTACTATTTGAAACAAGTGCTTGTAATGTTCTTAAAATAGTCTTTCCACATTTATACAGTCACAATAGCTGCAATGGTTTTCTATTTGCTTTATTTGGATCACATTCTGAATCACTGTGTGTGATGCATTAAATTAGATTTTTTTTATTATTTAACAGATTAGATTCACAGAAAAATGGACAAGACTGAAGAAATTCATACTCCTGAAAATGAAAATGCACATAAAACATATAAACCTGTAGAGCGGGTAAGTAGATCTTAGTTTTTATATTTAATAAGTTATGCAGACATCTAGTAAATACTTCAAATGTTTTTACTGCTGTGAGGTATTTAAAAAAATGAGATCATATTAGGCTTCCCTTATAATGCTTCATATTTACTGAGCCCCTCCATATTGCATTTAAGAACTTTAATTGGTATGGTTTGAAAGACATTGAAAAAGACAAAAGTGCATCAGAAATCAATGATGGAACTTTGTAAGTAGTGCATTCATATGAATGCTCTCTGCCAGGCTTAGATTACGAATCATATTATAAATGACTGGCTCTAAAATGCTCCAGTTAAGAACAATAAAATGAGTTTAATTTTACTAGGATTTGCAGCTGGAAAGATCATTAAAAAACATAATCCTGCTGTTTCTGGCAAATGATTTATACTTGGAAAATGTTTATAACTGAATTGAACGCTATACTTCTGTGGATCAGTAAAAATAACATTTTGTATTGATGTGTAGAGGTTTGATGGGTTTACTGAGACAATTATTAATTGTAGCAGTAATCACGAGGTTGTTCGTTGGGGCTTTTAGAAAATCAATCGTCAGAACAACTAACAACGCACACACACGGGTTCAATACACGAGATACATTTATCAATATAAATTGTGCACCAAACATATACTAGTCTGCCTGGATACGAGCGGCAGCCCTTACTGTGAGGGTTATCAATATACAAGGTATATAATCTCGAAGAGATGCAAACACAAAGAGATACACAACAGAGAATATATGTCAATATATATCGTTCGGTTACCAAATCGCTAGTGTTATTACCCACTGTTACTCTAAACTCGTAAGTAAATACATTACTCATGAATAAAATTGATAACAACTTATGTTGAGGTACAATTAAATTCTCGAGACACAATGTAGAACATGGGGTTTACTTATCCACTGTGTATGGATTTGGAATTTCCCGGCACGAACACCAAACCAGCTGACAGGCTCTGTTGCAGCCTCTGTTCCAGCGGTTGTCCAATGGGCGTTGTCCCGGCATCCTCTGGCTACCGGCCAACCAGTCGAGGTGCAGCTTGGAGTAGGACGGGCGGAGGAATCTAACTGCGGTGCGCAGGGCAGTCGTTGCTCCGAGGGGATCTACCAGCAGTCCGGCTGGCTAGTAGAAAGTCTCTATGCAGAGTGTGACCGCGAGTCCTCACAAGTCACTCTTTTGCCTGGAAAGAAGCTGGTTGTTCCCGGTCCAGCGCTGCTTCTGAATAAGCTATTCAGGTTGTCAACGAGGGTCCAACTGTAGGCTGCCGTTGATCAAGCGGAGCATTCACGTTGGTAGAATTCTGAGTACGTACGGGATCCTCGGCCTCGCGCTTAGAACAAAGTTCAAGTCCCTTTGCAGACAACAGCAGTTGTCACGTGATTGTCTCTGAGGATGCGCGAAAATGGCCAAGGAGAGCCCCGATTTGAGCTTGCGCTCCCTTTTTGACCAAGACACAGATGTGTGCTGATTGGTTGAGAGCTTGGCGGGCATTGGAGACCCACGTGGTATTACCACGCCCTGCCAGTCCCTGATTGGTTGGTCAAGGTGAGATATAAGTCACTTACTCTTGACACTTAAGAATGCAGTCCAGATGTCCATTCGGCACTCCCTAGACAGATAGGCACCAATGGATGACCATTGATCATGATAGCCAGGCTTAGCTAAGTGCATCCCCGTCTGGGAGCTTGTTTCTTATCAAAAGAAAACATCTTAAATCAGCCGGCATGAATACTTTCTCTGTGGCTGCACCACAGAGATGGAGGGTGAGATGGGGCCTTCTTTAGGAAAGCATAACAACGCTTAATTCTGTCTTATAAACAAGCATTGCTGCTACAGATGACATCTAAACATTTTTAATTCCATATGTCACTTTTACCACTGTAACGCTTATGGCCGACAGGCACTGTGTAAGAGCCGGCGTATGTCACCGCCCTTCCCTGTGATAGCAGGACTACAGCTACTGGGCTGTAGAGAGATCTCTCTTTGGCTCACCAGGCTGGGTCCCTGCAGAGTGACGCGGTAGTCCTGGGTTCGAGCCCCCGACAGTGGGGGGCTGACCTAATATGGCAAGGGTGCCCACCTGAGCCCCTGTTGTGTTACACCACCTTATAATGGAGAAACAATGCAATTAAATGTAGCTATAGCCATTTGAAAGTAATTACATCAACCAATTTATTATAAAAATGCCTCTTTTCACAAATTAATAGTTTTTTCTAGCTTAAGACGACATTTTAAAGAATTAATATAATGCAATTCGAAAGAGCATTAAAGAAATCTTCAATGCTGCTGAAAGGTCCTTTTTAAACAAGGTTAAGCAAATAATAAAACAATGTGTGCTTTGTAAGAAAACAGACAAAATAACCATCATAACAAACAAAAAGAAGAGGCAAAATACTCGATAAAGTTAGGTAAATGCTACTGTATATATTTTGCTGTGAGCAGTCAAGTAAATTTCCAGGGGACTCATTTAGAAAGGAAACAAAGGTCATTACATTTTCCTCATTTCTGACCTTGTGATACTGGATTACCTATGTGGAACAATATAATCTGTTTAATCCAAGAAAAATTGTCATCTTCAAAATTGTGTGAGAAAACAAAGTATTGTACTGACAAGCACCCATTATCTACTGCTGGGGCTGATCCACTGTATGCACTTATTTGGCAGATGCCCTTATCCAAAGTGACTTTGTAAAAACGAAATGCAAAAATAAGAAAAACAAAACTGTGCTGGTATAAGTGAATATAATGACAATAACACTTGAACATCAACACAAATGCTATGAAAAAATATTAAATATTAAGAACTCAAACTACTGAAAATGTGACTTCCGAGCAGTAATCCAAATACTCTGTTGGTATGTGTATCCAGGAGTAGAGTGCATAAGTGAACTTAGAATACATGTGTTGTCTAAATGGATGTGTCTTCAGCAGGTTATCAATTCTGTTCTCAATGGCTAGTCTGTTCCACCACCTGATATAATCTGTTCTAGAAGTGGGAGAAGTGAGAGTAGATATAGCACATCTGGTGACAAGGAGGATCAGAGAGAGTGACAGAGAGAGTATTTGCTTTGGCAACACTGATTGTACCCATCGGTCATGCTAATAAAGCACCTTGAATTGAATTGACAGGGGGGGTGCTGGCAGGATTAAGGTAGGCAGGGCAGAGGATAAGGTTTTTGAAAAGGACGCCTATGTGTGATAGTCACGGTTCCGTGCGGGGTCATGCCCCCCGCCGCCCATTCTGTCCCGCACACCTGGGGGCGTGAACCCAGGTCTCTGGCATAATGCAACAGGGCACCAACTGCGTGAGCTAAAGGAGACCTCCCTCAGCCCAGGCAGCTGAGGTCCTTGCTATGCACAGTGAGGGCGCTGACGTCACCGCACTAGCTCTGCTTTATATGCATCTTGACCAGACGTGACTGTAAGCCACTTTGGACAAAACCATCTCCCACATGAACAAATGTAACAGAAATAGTTACCTTCTTGAGTTCTTGCAGTGTTTTCTCAGTAGCTATCTGAAATGATCATCAAAATGAAATCCACTACATTCTCTTTGGGGCTGTGTGCTGTGTTCAGTTTTTTTAAAAATTCTCTGTTGCATTGTCATGCAGATAAGTAATGAATCATTAAGATGTGGGATAGTACCAATGGCACTTAAACCTGCAGTTACTATCATTCTGCTAAAAGTCTGAATTGAAATAGATTGAAATGTCACCATTGTTGGCAAAGATTCTGAACTTGTTTCTGTTCATGTACAGGCTTACATATCTGTGAATAAACCTCGTGAGAATCTTCAGTCTAGGCTTAATGCATACTACAGGTGAAAAACGTGGTCAGTGAGCCTGGTCAGTACCTGAATCGAGACCTCCAGGGAAAAACTAAGGTTTCTGCTGGAAGTGGTTTTAGTGGGGCCAGTAGGGGGCACTCACCCTGTGGTTGTTGTGGATGAGATGTACTGTAAATCTGAGGTCCTGATTCTCTGTGGTCATTAAAAGTCCCACGGCATTTCTTGAAAGGAGTATAGGTGTTACCCCAGCATCCTGGCCAAGTTACCCATTGGCCTTTACTAATTATTGCCTCCTAATAATCCCCAGCTCTGAATTGGTTTTATCACTCTGTTCTCCTCACCATTGATAGCTGATGTGTGATGAGCTTATTGTGCACACTATGGCTGCTGTCACATCATCCTAGTGGGTTCTGTAATTTGATGGTGGACAAGAGTATCCATTACCTTTAAAGCACATTGAGTGGAGTTTCCAGAAAAGCCCAATATAAGTGTAAGGAATTATTATTAATTATTAAGTGCACAAGGGCAATGAAATGCGTATTTGCATGTATGCTCCAATACAAAGACATTAGGGAAACACAAAGCAAACACAGAACAGCAGCAACAACAAAATTAAATAACATAAAATTTAAATACAAGTCAAACAGGGCACAAAAAAACATCAGGGTGAGTCAGTGGTAGAGGTTGTGGGAAGAAGCTGTCTCTGAATTCAGAGGTATCTTTATGCTCCTATACCACTTACCAGAGGGAAAGGGATGAAAAGTGAGAAAGCCGGATAATGTTTACCCTTGGTAGTACTCCCAGCCTTCCTGAGACAGCAGGTTGTAAAAATGTCCACAACAAAGGGGAGCTAATCTCTGATAATGGACCAGGCTGACCTCATCATTCCTTGCAATGTCGTTTGGTTATACAGTACAACGAGCTGCTCCCAAACCTGTACTACACTGTAATACCACACGTGAGCACACTTTCAATAGTGCAACTGTAAAATGTAGTGAATTGTTGAAGATGGAACAATATTGGTTTACCTGAGGAAATACAGTAAAGGAACTGTTGTGCCTTCTTTGTAGCTTCAGGTACATGCTGGGGCTCCGTTACATCATTAGTAATGAAGGTACCCAGGATCTTGAGGCTGGTAACCATCTTAAAAGCCACCACATTGGTGTGATCCACATCCAGCTTTCTGAAATCGA